AGAGAAAAAAACCAAAATAGCGAATTGATTGGTTCGATTCAGTTTGGTTTTTTCTTAAAACCAAACCAAACCAAATCGAACTGAACTTATGAATACCCTTATCCTCAGGAATTTCAAATGCACTTAAACTCATCACTGCAGGAATTGGGTTCAAGCTTTCCCTAGCCCCTTCTCATCAATGGACTCTTGAGGTATACAAAGTAATGTAGTTCATTCAATTATGCAGGATTGAACATAAAAAATGGTGTAATAAATAAATAAATACACAAACAACATTGAAGCAAAACTTAATTTCTTGGTAAGATGATATTTTCTTTTTACTTTATTTATATTTTATATTACTTATATTCTAGTTATTAATAGAATATATTAATTAATAGAGATATAATATTAAATTCGGTAAGCCATCCTATCCAAATTTCAAGTATTAAGCCACGTTCAAACATGGATGATTATCATAAGAGATTCCTAACATATCATAAGATTCCCTTTCTTGAAAATCTACACTTTTCCAAACCCATAAAATAGAGGGAATTCTTATATCAACAAAAAATGGACACTGTAATTTTATTGCACTGTAAAAAAAGCTATTCTATGGACCATCTCTTTTTAGTAGATTATCTCATGCAAAAGATTAATATTTTATAGAAAATATCACACTATTTGCTCCCATTCTTTATCGAATCATATGAATCGATTTAGAAATAATGAAATTTCTATTTTTTTTATTAAATTACATGAAATTTTACCTAACTCCATATATGGAATGTATGAAATACCTATGAATAGAGGAATAAATTTTCTTTCATTGTATTACAATTTGATTGTACTATTTGATTCTATTCAATCAACAAAAATCCAAATAGGTTGTATAAACAAAAGGTTTTTTTTTGTACAACCTATTTGGATTTTTAATTATTTTATTTGTATGCACCAACTTTATAAGAAATAATATTGATAGCCTCTACTCATGTCCTAAATCATCTGAGACCTAGATTTGCCTCAATTATGGGTCTCGTGCCTTTAGCTTTACTCAGGTTAGCTTTTTTTATTTCAAGAGTTTGCTGAACTTCTTTGGATCCACGTCACTGCCCTTCTCCACATCATTTATTAAAACAATGATCTCATTATTTCCTATTCTAGCAAAACTGCCTATTAGAGCCATCATTACCTATTGGCAATTAAGGCGTATTTTCAAAATATCAATATCTACAACTGTGGCAATAGGTGCACAATTTGGTAATACTTTAATTTGTCCACTATTAGTAGATAAAATAATTTTCCTTCACTTTTGAATCCCAAACAATTCAATTTAGGTTTAGTATACAAAGATTTAAGGTCATTTCTTCAATTTGATCTCCATTTCTAAGTTTGTAGCCTTCGCAATAGCTTCATCGATGTTACCTACCAAATAAAAGGCATGTTCAGGAAGGCCTTCTAAACCCGAAAGCATATGGAATTTACATTACAAGTGATTCATTAAGCTTCTTTTTCTCAACACAATTTAATATTTTAGTTTACTTTTCATTTTTAACAATATTACTTTTTTATGTAACATTGAATATTCAGTGCATACTTTTGAATTACATTCAAATTTTCTTATCATATGCTCCTTCTACGTCACAATATATAGCATTTTCTAGAAATTTTAATTGGTTCAAAATAAACGGCATTGTGTTTTTTTTTTAATTGTTTTTTAATTACACCTCTACTTCATTTATTAGTGATGTTTTCGAAAAAAAAATTAATGTATTTAGAATTTTAATTATCATTGTAAAAGCACTTACATATGATGTTTAATGAATATATAATTGAAAAGATGTATAATTTTTAAGAGCTTAAAGTTTCATATAACTTGTTTAGAACCATAAAGTAGTTACAATGTTCTATATTTTACAATCCAGATGGAGAAGATTTTTGGAGAAATACCCATAGGTTCTAATTAATGAAATTAATTATAAATAGATTCACTGAATTTGTTAAGAGTTATGCCATTTAGAAGTCCAATTTAACAATTTAATGTTTACAAGTCTAAATTTTATATTTATTTGTCAAGTTGTATCATTTATAATTGATCGTGTGTGTGTATTTTCACAAGTTCTCAAAACTTGAACTGTTGTGGAAAAATACACATAATAAATTTTAAAAGACACAACTCGACTTGTAAATATAAAATTTAACTTGTAAAGATTAAATTGTTGAAGTTAACTTGGAAATAACAGAACTTTGACTTATAAATATGAAAGTTTATTTTACTTGTAAATATTAAATTTTTAATATAGGAAGCTATAACAATTTCAGACTTTGTGAATGTGCTAATGAAAATTGTTGGTATTAAAATGATTGAAAGGGTAAATTATCACTTTTGACCCTCGGACTACACCCTTAATCTTTAAAAAAAACAAAAAAGAAAATGATGCAAAACAACCCTTGCTATTAAATGAGAGACATTAAACGTCCATTAAAAATTTGTGTGGCCCACAAAATGTCCTGGGTGTCAACTAATGGGTCTTTTTATAGTTGATCAGTCATCGCGGACAAGTCAACACTAGCCAATTGACCACCCCAAGTTGGTCAATGTGGTCAAAAAGCATTAAGGTTGATTAGGCCAATTTATACATATATTATAAAACATTAATGGGTCCTAAATTGGATAACAATGGCTTATAATATGAGAAAAATATGAATAAATTACCTTAGGCTAAAGGATGAAGAATTATGCCTCTAGTTATATCCAGTCATGGATGAGGAAAAGTTGAAAATGTCAGTACGTGCTTCTACCATGAGTGAATGAAATTACAAAGGATTTGATCGGGGGCAGATGAACGGCATTCTATATGATTTCACCACGGGCAGACGAAAATACAAAGAGCACAATATAATTGTGGGTGGACAAAAAATCAAAAACACAAATCATCTGTAGAATTAATCCTAAATTAACATAATTAAGACGAAAGAACCAAACAGGCTTGGGTTAATGGGCTTTTAGATTTTTATGGTGTAAAAACTATATGACATACCTTGGGGAGGCTCATTTAGGGCATCCAATCACATCTTTGAGAGCTAGGAGGCAAAACACAAAATTTAGAAGAGTTCTTCCGAACTAGAAGCTTTAGCTCTTTATTTATTCTTTTTATTTTGTCTATGTCTTTTATTGAGAATTTGTATGACTTCTCTATGGGTTGTTTTTAAATCCCCATTGAAGGTAGTGAGTGGCTTGACTAGGATGGTTTTGCTATTTCATTTTTTTATTTATTTTTTCTATTGAACATTGAATTTTGTCTATGAAATGTACATATTTACTTTTATATTTATCTATCTTGATTTAATTGTCTTTTTATATAGATGCCCAATATTTAAATTGTCTGTGGGTAGTTTGAAGAATTAGAAAGTGAAAGACTTACATAAACTTAGAGAGATATGCATCAAAAACAAAATTAAAAATAATTTAGGTATGGGTGGTGATTTAGATCATAGCTTCATGATATAGTTAGAGAATAAAATTGAGTAGGAGCAAAATTTAACTCTAATTAAATATATTCTAATATGCTAGATGGTAATTTGACACCTTAGAAATGGTCACTATAAATGAAGGGAAATAAATAATTGAATTAGAATAAGCCATTCCAGTAAGTGAATCCTGATCCTTAGCGCTCGTTTAATTGGTTGGTTCCTATATTTTCTATCCCATTCTTGCGCTCTTTATTTAATTCAATAATTCTCTCAAATCACTTGCATTTATCATAACAAATATCATTGCTTTCCTTTGTGTTCGACCTAAAATACTCCAAATTTATTACTATACCTGGGGGGAGAGCTGGAATTGAGACTATCAAAGTGGATTTTCCTCCCACTATATCATCTACAAAAGCTATTCATCTTATAGTACAGGGTCATAATAAAGACTTAAAGAGATGAGACTATAGCTGTTAGAGTGGTTTTCATGCTAGCTAGTATATCTAGCAAGGATAAGCTAGGCCCCCGCTCTTGGTGCAATAAAAAAGGTGTTCAGGCTCTTTCTTTCACTCCTAATTCTGTTAACGCATAAGTTCCGTCGCTACTTTCTAGCCTACTATAACTAGAAGGCTATTTTCTAGTGCGATCATCCCTAGCTTGTTTGCTTGGCGGGTTTTCATTAACACAATAGTAAAGAATAAAAGAAAGTCACAGTTACATTGAGACGACAAACGAGGACAATACCTATTTCTTCTCCAAGTTGTGAGTAGAAGTAGTGGATCAAGTCACTTTAGCCGACAGGCAAACCTTTCATGATTTGTAAATCATTTATGAAGTGGCCCTTAGCAAAGATAGAAGGGAATGATCCTTGTGAGAAGGGCTGCTGGCGTTAGAAAACTACTATTGTGGTGAGTTCTCATCAAATGTTCTGGCTTGGATCAAATTCCATAGGATTGGTAAAAAATTCTTATTGCTGATGAAATTCATTTAGAAGGCTGTCCGATAATCTTGTACACTTCTGGGAGCCGATCAAGTTTTTAGAGCCATTTTCGAGTAAGGCAAACATCTTTGTTAGTTTCTTAATTTAATTTTTTTCTTTTTTTAAAACAACATTTTTTTAATTTGTTTCTTTCTTTTACTATGATGTATTTTTTTCGTTGCATGTTTACTATAAGCTCAAAAAGCCTTAGTGATTCTCTATTGACTTTTGTTAATTATGAAATTGAGCGTGCTTGCAAGGGAAATTGTAAGAAGTAGAAGCAAAGATAAAAAATAGCTATCATTGCTAACACCACCTTCCATCGTATTATGGGAGAGCTACAGAAGATGCTCTAGCTTTCATCAAGAATTTCTACTATGTGGTGTCCTTACTTCCTCTAAATGAGATGACATTAAAGATGAACTTCATATGTGATGCTTAGTGCATGGTCTTTATAATCATGCTAGTGAGTGGCTAATAAATCCACCTAAAAACTCACTCACTACATGGGATCAAATTTATGATGCTTTTATGTCAAGATTTTACTCACTGCACCACACTGAGGAGCTCCAGGTACAAGATTTTTAATTTCTCCCAACTACTAAGAGAGCCATTCCAAGAGGCATGGGAGAGATTTAATAAGCTACTAAAGCAATGTCCCTTACCATGACTTCACCCCTATAATAGTAATTAATAAATTCTAAAAGGGGTTGGTGATGGATTATCAAAACCTAGTAGACATAGCTACTGATGGCTTTGGAGGAGAAAGAATAATAGACCAAATGATAAACATTTATGAACATTTGGCTAGAAACTCAAGGCAAAAAGGCAATAGTGGGAGAAAAGTTTAGGCTTACTAAGTGGAGTCAAGCTTTAATTTGCTATCACAGCTTAATTAAAGGAGTTTAACAATAATATTTTTAACTAATCTCTAATGCCATTACTCGTAGATCTTCTATTCTTGTGGATACTACTAATTATTCTTATAGGTTTGTGCAAGTAACTACAACAACTAAGTAGTAGATGCTTACTTCATTGGTGCTGCTCAGTGTCAAGGAAGGCCTTATAATCCTTATGGTGACACCTACATACAACTCTAGATAGAAGAATCACCCTGATTTCTAATGGAAACCATATAAAGGCACCAAATGGAATTTGAACAGCAGAAAATGCCATTTGCCCTATCACTACAGCCTTCAACCATTGATACACGCTTCAATAAGTTGGAGGAGCTATTATCTAAAATGTGCATTACTCAAGACAAAGCTCTCCAAACTATGGAAGCTTATATCAATCTGCTAATAGAAATTTAGAGAATTAAATATGGCAGTTGGCTAGCAAGGTCTCTGAGCACTCTCAAGGACAACCTTCCAGTACCATAGAGCAAGGAGTTATGATGATCACTTTAAGGAGTGATAAATAGTTGGAGGACCTATTTCCTCTATAACATGCATAAAGAAAAGAACCACCACTGAGAAAGGATGTTAGTACTCTTGAAAAGGTAAATGACCACAAAGAGGACTCCACTCCCTTTAATGTCAAGCCTTTTAACCTCATATTAATTTCCCTCAAGCTCTTAAGAAACAAAAGCATGATGTGGACTTCAATAAATGCCTTGTATTGTTTAAGAAACTCCATATCAACATCCCTTTTGTGGAAGCTTTAGCTAAGATCCAAACCTATGCTTAGTACATGAAGGAGCACATCTTGACCAAAAAGAAACTTCAAGAATTTGACACTATAGCCCTTATGGAACAATGTAAAGCTGTAGTTCAATGAAAGATAACTTAAAGCTCGAAGATCCAAGGATTTTTTCTATTCCTTGTCTTGTTAGTAACTTAAAAATTTATAAATGCTTATGTGATTTGGGTTATTCTATTAATCTTATAGTACTGTTTGTGTTAAGGAAGCTTAGAATCATTGACCTCAAGCACATTAATGTCACTTTAAAGATGGCAGATAGATCATCATAGTACTATCTTAGAGTTGTGGAGAATGTCCTAGTAAAAGTCGTTAACCTTTACTTACTTGCAAACTTTATTGTTTTAGAATTAGGAGATGACAAGGATGTTTCCTTTATTATGGGGAGACCATTTTTAGCCATAGGGGGTGCTATGGGCAAGTTGAGTTTTAGAATATGGAATGATAAAGAAATTTTAAAATTTGCTAAGCCTACACTACTGCTAAAAATAAAAAAGTTTTTTGTGGCATTTAAAATTTTAGTTTTATAGAATTTATAAAACTCTATAAGTCAAAGCTGTCTAATATCTCAGGTGATGCTTCATTAATTAATGAAATGCCATGTAGTTGTTATAATTGCAAGGGTGTTTAATCTATAAAATACCACCTTTGTAAATGATTTTTATAAACAAATAAAATAAAAAGGAAGAGGTATAGGAAATGCGACCATTGTAAATTACTTTTTTTATAACAAATTGAGGTGGTGTTTCCTTTTATTAGAAGCGTCACCTCTCTATTTTATTTTTTATTTTTTTAAAAATAACTACCAAAGATAGTGTCATTTCTTCATGGAAGAAAGAAACACTACCTCTCTTATTTTTTAAAAAAATTGATAGAGGTGGCAATTTCTTCACCTAGAAACACCACCTCTTATATTATTTTTTTTAAAAATATTTTTTTAAAACTATATACATCCAAATTTTCCTTGTACAACAATTCCAGCAATACAATGCCAATCTAGCTATTCAGATATGCACAAAAAGATACAAAACATATATATCATAGCTATTCAGGTATGCATAGAAAGATACAAAACATATATATCATAGCTATACAGGTATGCACAGAAAGATACAAAACATATATATCATAGCCAATACAACATACAAGTTTATAACTCTATCTATCTATCTATCTATATAGTTCACCAATTAGTCAACACATCCCATGATAAATTTCAATAGTTTTACCAACAATGACAATGTATACAATTACCCTTGTCTTCTAATTGTTTCTAATAATCTTACAAAGCAATTCTTATATACAATTCAATTTCATCCCCCATTTTACAACTAAATTACAATTTATTTTGAAGATATACCAAGTTTTTGAAGCCTCCAAAACATAGGATGACCACCTTCAATTAGATCTTAAATTTGCCCATCATTGTATTCCATGCACTTTATGTCCTCATAGTACTACAAAATAATTATTATGATAGGATGTAAAAATTGACTGAAAATTATTGAATTGAATAAAAGTAAATGAATTTAAATTTTCATACCAAACTCAGAACAAAAGTTTGATCATGAGTGATAATATCTTTCATGAATTTCATAATGTAACACCCACAATCATTGAGATTGGGTTGGAAAGGGCATTAAAAAATCAAAAGGTCATGTAAATTTATGAATCTAATAAATATATTTTTAATAACTCAATAAATTCTTGTAAATATGAATATACAATAATATTTTGCTAATCATAAATCTTATAGTGAAGCCTTTATTTCTAGAAAAGGAGATCCCAAAGTGACTTCAAAAACTGTTCAATTCCCTATCAAAATAGAAAAGAAATTAATCAATAATAATAATTGAATCAAATATATAAGAATACGTAAAATAAATTAACAAACATAAATACTTACTTATTGAACAACCTTAACATAGTAAGGCGATTTTTTGGCATACTTTCATGTAAAGGAATTAGGTAATAAATTAAAGGCGAAGGAACAACTACAATATTGATAACAATCAAAATCAAATGTTGTTTAAAACAAATTTAAATTTTATTTATATATTAATAAATTGAAGTATTTAACACCAAAGAATAAATAAGTAATAAAATAATTACCCCACAATGTAAGGTACTGAGAATAACATATCTTTTCTAACTTTTGTCTTTTTTGGTTGACAATCCTTTCACAAGATCTATCTGTTCAGATAGACTCAACGTCCCCTTAAAGGAATAGAAAATATATGTAATAGTATGTTGATAAATAACAAAAAACTATATTACAACGAATCAGAATAGTTGATAAAAAATGAAAAATATCAAAGGATTGTTATGAAACAAGCACCTTATCTATGAAACAGTCTCTTTCTATTAATCATAATTAATCAATATAACTCCTGGCAATCCAAGATTTAACTAGAAAGGATGATTACCAATGTTTAATTTAAAAATAAGGGATCCCACATTATCTAAATAAAAATGAGTTGAAATCAATCAAAACCTTTCATATCAAAGTAAAAATATATTACGAAAGCATTGGATACTTTAGAGGAGTAAAAGAAGTAAAAAACGGTTGAAAACAAAACATGTACTGTGATACAAGGCAATGCACGATGGCTCGTGCATGCTGCACCGCGACGTGTTGCATGAAATTTCTGCTGATTCTGCTATCATTTGACAGCATAATCAGGAAACTTTTAACTTGCCCTAATTCTCCATCTAACATCTGAATGATGTGATCTAGGTGTTTATGTAAAGATCTTTACAATAACTAGCTAATGGCATAGTTTCACTTCCAAAACATGTCACACTAGGAAGTTGGACACCCAAACACATTTAAACCACTTTTCAACACTTTTACACAAAATAGGTGTATAAAACCTTCAACAATTGCCAAAAGCTTTTTCTACCACCTGGACCATGTTTAATGGACTTAAGACTACTAGTACAACACGTCAAAAGCACTAAGACATCAGTATCATAAAAATTCACTCAACCCCATTTTACCAAAAATAGAGGGGGAGGTAATTTGTCATTGCATCTTGCCTAAATCTTCACAATAAATTCAAATCATTATTTCTACACTTGAACTAGTATTTTAGCCCTATAAACATATATATCAATATACATAAAGACTAAATATCCAAAATACAAATCTAACATTTCCAACAACTAAAATAGTGCAAGTGTGATGGCATGTATCCTATAAGTGGCAAGTCATATACTGTTACACAATTAAATCTAAACTAGAGGTATACAGAAAGGAATGTGCTAATTCCCCACCTCTTTAGTCTTCTCCCTCTCAACACTAGAGCTAGAGTTTGAAAAATATTAAATGAAAGGAGTAAGTCTAGCCACTCAGTAACTAAGGTTAGACTTACCCTATGCAATTATATATCAATTATAAACCAAATACATACAAAAGGAAATTAAGTATGTAAAACATGCTGGCATATAACATAACTTATCGATTATCATTAAATAACTTCTTTAATTCTCATAATTAGATGCATTGTCACCATATTTTCAAATATGTGACATGACCTATACTCATGCCACTTACTACCACTTAACATTTATGACACGTCGTCATAAATTTACTTAGGCAATGATCAACCAACCTTATATCCTCCTTATTTCTTAGATTGAAACCGTGGGCTATAACACTAATTAGGGCTCCGTTCATGTAATTGGACCACCCAATCTCACCAATCGTGAGGTATGACCAAGTCAAAGATCATAGAACTCACTCTTGAACCACAGCTTCCCCATTCTCAAATCTCCGGGGTGTCTCATACCTAAGCTATTCTCCTCATTAAACTGGTGGAGATAGCTAGGTTCTAGTCCCTTGACAAACTATAGGATAGTCCCTCGATAAATTATGGGACAAGGCTATACCCCTGTGCATTGGAGGGCAGCCTAAATACCATATAAATTTTTCTCTACTCCCAATCCCTAGGAAAACTCTTGCCATTGATC